CCTGTATACAACCTAACCCATTACACTAATATCCCGCCATACTCCTTCCACCTTCCACCACGCCTCGACCGCGCGCCACTGGCCGTATATGCAACGCCGCGCAAACGTTTTCACTCGCGGCGCGGCCTTTCGTCAGAGATCGTTAATATAACGTCCATCAAACGTAGCCAACTCTTTCCTGGCCATAGAACAGTCGCTTTTCTCTACTTATATGCCATACTTTTTGCCATTTCGCCGGCAGTTTGCGCCAAGCCAGTGCTCACCCGTTACACCTGGGAATAATTTATGATAAATCCACGCGATTCTTTACATTTATATCGTGGCCTTTTACATTTCCCTTTTGTCCGATCCACCATTACAATTACTTTGATTGGCAATTGTTTGAATTAGATTGCGATAGCAAAGCAGCGAGGAGACGTAAAAAGCCGTCGTTAAAATTATTTTAAATATCTATACTTTCGTGACTATTTACTTTAATATGTGCCGACACCTATGCTTTAAGCAACTCCTTCCTTTTATTACTATAATGTGCCATTAACTAATGACCTCCCATTTTGTAATACTAACAATATTAATGAATAGTTATATAAAAAAAAAATAATAATAAAAGAAAAGAAAAATAGATGTAAGAGAAAACATTTTAAATATCATTGAAATCCATCAGGATTGCTCGCACGTTACCCCAAAATCTTACTTTTATTTTTAATTCGACTGTGTAATCTTACAAGTTGCTGTTCAATTATCGCTGCCGGACAATTTAATAAGTTTATGAACGTATAATGTCATGATTTTGTAAATTATTTTGGGCTTAAAGTAGAAAATGATCGTAAATATCGAGCTCAAGAAACCTTACGCACTTATAACTCTCATAACTCTACATTAATTACGCGCCAAAAATTCAGTAAATAAATAAAATAATGACAACTAAAGAGCAAAAGTGAGTATTATAAAAGCAGCAACATTTAACATATAATGAAAAACACAAAAATAATAATTAAGCACCGGAGAGTTACATTAAAAGGAAAGGAAAATAATCACATTAATGTCGAAAACTTGGAAGAAACTCGAATGTAAAGTCCGAGAGCAAAGTCAAGTAATTCCTATGCAAAAATAATGTTTCACTTTGCCGATAAACGGCAGCACGAGGTCTCGAGCGCACGTGAAAAAAGTACTTCGGGCGGGAAAGCTCCAGTGTGTTAGAGGCCAAAGCTAGCGGTGACGGGGGTCCGGCGCCGACCGAGCGCCGCTGGTACTTTGGCGAGTGGTGGCTGGGGCGGCGGCACCACAGGCCTCCTCGGCGACTGTATTTCCGGCTCAACGGGCTTGTCCACCAGGGCCTTAGGCACCGCGACGATCTTCCTCTCGAGCGGCTGAAAGGTCTTGAGCAGCGGGGCCTCCTGCAGCACCTCCTGCTCCAGTTCGCGGATGACCTGCGCGTGCTGAGCCAACGTTTTTACCATCAGTCACGTACTTTCTTTCGCTATTGTCGAGGTGCCGCTCGCCCTCTCTATCCCCCCATTCCCCAACACCCTCTTTTCCTCCCGCAGCCGCTCTCTTCCCCGATAATTAATTTGCCATCTCGCAGACGGCTGCTGTGGCACCGTTCGCGGCTGATGGCGAACGCAGCAGGTCTCGCGCGCTTTTCCCTCGGTCGCGGTTTTTCTTTATCGCTTCGTCTCGTTGCGTTAAACGCACCAGCGAACTAATTACGCGTCCTCGAACCAAGGCGTCATGCGTGACACTTTCATTATTCGTTTTTTCCATTTATTCTTTCTCGCGTTTTTTCTCTATTCGACCGCTGCATCGTGGCCATCTATTCTCGGCTCCCCAAACTTCCAGTCTCCAATTTTCGTTGGCCGGTGAATAATGTCAATCGAGCAATGATTGATGAGCGGACGCGCACGAGCTGAGTGTGTGTCGTATTAGAAAAAATAGAGGCACTTTAGAAAAGTAATTAATAATTTGGCGATTGACGATGGCGATTGAGATCATTTATCGGGGAAATGAACAATCGCGACCCGTTGACCGTCGGACTCGCGAGTATTTACTTACGAGCTTACGTTGGTGAGGGATCGAAGGCAGGTGAGCGAGTGTGTTCGGCAATCGGCCGCGTTAAACAATTTCAGCGACGAAGCGGCAATCAGCGAGGCGCATCGCAAAGCTTACTATCGCCACGGAAACGAGCGTCCTGCAATTTTTCCACTTTTACGTTTAGCCAACGGCCGGATAAGACTTTTTAATCCATCCGCAGGCCGTCGAAGGAAGACGCTTCCCTCGTCCACCGAATGACACATATACCGCCGACTCATATTTGCGTCGCTCGAGAGCTCCGCTCAATGGCTCGACTGCCGCTACAATTCTCACGCTCGTATTATCTTTCTCTCAGCGTTTTCCCATTTCACCGTACGACGCTCGATCTCCACTTTTTTTTTCTCCCTCCCTCCTACCGAGCGCCTGCGTTTCCCCACCGCCTCCAATCCCCCCTATCGTCCGACCCTTGCCCCCCGTCGTCCCATCTCGTGGACGCCCACGAGAAAGGTCGTCGTGGGCAAAGAAACGTGCGATCGCAGTTTTGTCGTGTGGCCGCCTCACTCACCTCTCTCTTTTTGATGGGCGGAAAACTGTTTTTCCGCTGCTCGAGGAACATGTGCTTGGCGGCCGGGAAAGCCGGCGCCAATTCCATTTCGGACACGAGGTCAAGGACGTAGTCCAGGCCGTTGGTCTCGGTGACGATGGCGTCGTTGCCCTCCAGTTGATTCCACAAGGTTATCGTCCAGCCGTTGTTCTCCACCCCGTGATTCTGAATGGCAAGGTTCGCCAGCTCCTCGCACGTCGTCCACGAGTCGACTGCACAGGTTGTCGTCTCGCCTAATTGGGCCGTAAGGTTTACACGTGTTTGTTTTACGGGGGACGAGCGAGTGGGTGACAGCCTCTTTGGTCGATGGATTATGAGTTTCGATTGGGAGTATCGTCGAGCTATTCGATCGTTATTACCAGGATTGCACGAACTTTTGAAATTAATTATCCTAATGATTTGATATTTTTTGTTTGCTTGGTGATATTTTGCATTGTCCTACGCGAATGTCGAAATATCAATCTTTTGTATTTATTAACGACCATACAAATGACTTATTGTTGTGCTGTTTTTATTATGCTTATTATTTGTCTTATTTATTCTTTTCTTTTACTTTTCTTACTATTGTCAAAGTATATAAAAATTTTTTTTTTTTATATTGTATCACACATGCAGTGATTTTGCAATTTAAAAGGACTTTCGTATTCGTTGATAATAAATTATATTGAATTAAAACTTTAGTTTATCATATATAACGATTCTTATTTTAAAACATTAGAGTTTCGAAAGTTATTTAATAAAAATATCAACTAACTTGTATTCGTTGGCATTGAAATAAGATTTTTTAATAGGGTATATTTTTCTAAATTTAGGGACAATGGTAGTTTATACAATAGAAAGCATTAAGTCGATATTGCAACTTTCTCTCCAATAAAAACTTTAAAGCAGCGACAGAAAATGTTATCAATTTTAAAAACATAATGGCCTTATTATTGATACAGGGTGAATAATTGATATTTTATCGCAAAGTATTGCAAAGTTCATTCATGATTTTTATTATATTAGGAAATTTAAAAAAATACAGAGGTATTCGTCAAACAAAGTTATAACTCAAATATCCATTCGACGAAATTTTTTGAGGGAATTTCTTTCACGATTATTATATCTGTGAGACTATACCTTGGCAATGATATACACTTAAAAATTACAAGAGTTTCGTGGGATTATTGATAGCTGCCGATGAAAAGTATTGATATGTTGGACATGCATTAATTAAGTGATGATTCTTAAGTAATTAAACTTACCATCGTAAAAGCCGACAGTCAAAGCCATATTAACTCTGTTTCGATTAGCTCTCCATTCCAAAACAGACGGTGGATAGGTTCTTGGCACTTGTTGAATGGTTGTTTGGTTATTGTAGACTGTTTTAAGTAAAACTCTTTCGCCTTGCAAAAGTTTGCGCTGACAGTAGGCTTTATACCCATCATAGGCATGATCTGACACATACCTTGAAAAATCATTTGATACAAAAAAAAAAAAAAAAAAAGAAATGAAAAAATGAATAATTTAACGAATGCGCCTTAATTAATATAACATATTACAACAAGAAATGATCTTATTGAGTATAGTGTGTATCGGTAACAATACGTGGAATTTTAAATAAAATAGGTGAATCACAACGAATTCATCGAAAATTAATTAATTTTGAATGATCGTGGCTGATAATAATATTGTAAAATTACAATTAGTGGATTGTACCATTACATTTACAGTGCTATATTAAGTTCCTATACATAAAAGTATACTAAGACAAAGTTTGATTTATTGTTTTATAGCAGAACCACGGAGTAGAAACTAAACTGGTTACAGGAAGCCGTTTACTTTCTATATGAAAACAGGTTTAAATGGCTATGGAGGCTCTTTCTTGTATTTGCGAAATCTCGTGTAATTCATCAATTTGCTTTTAACGATTGATGCGATTGCAGAACATAATTTCATCGTTAAATTAATTTCATAACAGCATAATTTAGAAATTTATATACATACTTTAAAATGTATTTGTATAGTGTGCGACTGGGATGAAAAGCGGACAAGCAATTTGATAACAGGAGCCAGCCCCTTTCCTTATTTGCGTCGTTCTCGTTTTTCCACGTCTGATTAGCCAGCTGACAAAGGATTTCGTCGCGTAACTTCTCATTTACAATGCCCTTATTAACTATATAATCGCCGAGAGCCTGTTCCCTTTTGCCGCTGAGATTATTCTCGTTCATGAAGCGCAATATCAGCTTGAAAATCATCAAGGAATCCGTGTAATCCTGATCGCGAGCCTTGGCTAAGAAAGGCGTTTTGATTGGCTCGCGTTTCATGCCAAAGATATGGCTCTTGAAGTAGATGTTGGTGAATTTGGAAAATTGATATTGGTCGATGTCTGGTGGTAATACGTAATTTAGGCTAAATGGGACCACACTTCCGACTACCTTGATCAAGTTCCTCTCGGAATGAGTCGGTTGCCAGTCTGAAAATAATTATCAAGAATTATTACTTTACATTATTTTACATGATATAAGAGAATTTATTATTATAAAACGCACATAAAAGTAAAAATTACTATGTGTTCGAGAAAAATTCCAAGTCTATCGTTTCAAGAAAAATATTGAACTTCGGAAAGCGAAATAAATAAACCTTTGCTTTTAGCTAGCAAGAACGCGGCGAGTCTGTTTACGCGAGAACATTTCGAGAGTGTCAGATATACAAAAACAATCGAGTAGAAAAACATTTCCAAAAATTTATTGTAACTTGAAACCCAGCACGTGTGACATCGGGCAATCTTCGGCACACGTGTGCCCTCAATGTCACGAGACAGCACGCAGACATTGTTGTGTAGTACGTAAAATGTAGCTGCTTGACCAAGACCCCCCGCTCCCCGCCCTTCTCGTCGCAAAGTCCCGAAGAGGGGTGAGACACCTCACAATTAAATGCGCTGCCGCCAAAGACACTCTTTTCGATGTAGTAATTGTCAAAGCCTAATATATTCGGAAGTGAGGCGTGCACGCTCAGTCATGCCGCCCAAAAACGGCCCGCTCTGATTGGAAACAAAAAAAGGGAAGGGATTTCAAATTGACACCAGATTCAGTGAATTATTTAAGAAGGAAAAACACAATATAAAGTAAAATCTCAACGAAAGAAGTCACATCGTAACAGCTGAGTCCGAAGAAAGTCTTAGTCAGTAAATACTCACACTAAAGTCACCAAGAACGAAAAGAAACATCATAACAGCTGAGTCCGAAGAAAGTTTATTTAGTAATCTTCGTTAAAGAAAAGAGCAATTGCTCCCGGTCACACGGTATCTCTAGTAGCCAGTCCGAGCCCAAAGAGATTTTAGCCCACGCGACGCGAGAAGTCTACGTCGCCCCTTCAGCTCCATACCATCTGGGTCCTAATCGCGAATAGAAGCCGCTTGTGCCAGAGCGCATCAAGGGCAAGTACCAAGAATGCGTCAGCATCGTCTACGACTATCATTCCGCCAGGTGACACGGTATCTCCAGTAGCCAGTACGAGCCCAAGGAAATTTTAGCCCGCGCGAGAACCCTGCGATAATTACTCTAAATAGTATGTATTCTAATATTTATCGATAGTAGTGATTTTATAATTAACCATACACTATTTATGCAAAACGAAGCCATCTAATTCTACGCCCCCGTGCAAGTACACATTCCTATATATACATATATATATATATATATATATATATATAAATTTGTCATCTTTGGAAAATAAAATTCAATATACCAATATTTGTAAGATCGCTTAAAGAATTCGCGAATACCGTCTAATTTGCTGTAGATGAAGGCGAGTTCCGCTGGTATTTCCAGGTGATTGACCCCGGCAACGGCCCTCGAGGCCCTTTCCTGCTCCTCTCGCTGCTGCTTAGCCTTGGCGCGTTCCCTGCTCGCCCTCTCGATCTCCGCTCGCTTTGCCATCTCCTCCTTGAGCACCTTGAACCTCTCGCGTTGCTTCTGGCCTCGATAGAGTTTTTGGGCTATTATGGTGGCACGCCTCAGGCTCCGGAACTTCTTTCTCTCACGATATCCACGGTATACCGCCTGCAGGAGTACCGTGCTACGAGATATGTTGAGGAAGCGTCGCCTTGCGAGAAAGCCCCTTGTATACCTGGTGGTTAAGACAATGGCGATGTTATGACAAAAGTAAGACGCGTCGTTACTTTGTAAACGGCCAACGATTTCAGTCTACGTCAGAGCCGTATATTCGTTGGCTGATAATATTAGAAAGGCATGCTTTGTCGTAACGACGATTCATAATTATCCGTTACGCATTTAAGTGTGCAATTGATAATGTCGGGGTACCGGTGCTTTTTATTCGTTTTGAAATATCGCGATCACTTTCTTGTACCTTCGACATTACTAGTTTGGTATAGTTAGTTACGTATAGGGTGTATACGTATAGGATAATTATTCAAGTGTATGACCATTGATAGACCGAGTACTCTAGCTCGATGATACACTCGAGGCTTTTATCTATTTGAAAAAAAATTAAAAAGAAAAACGGAAAATACCGAGCTATTTATTCCCTTTATGTTATTTCAAAATAAGAACTGATCGTATACTTTTTATTTTCTTAATGATTATTGTCGGTTGCCAAATAATTGGCTCGTACAAATGTACAAAAATCAATTAAAATTAGCAAGTAAATCGAAAATAGTATTTGAGTGCGCCACGGTCGTATTTGTGGACTAGTACCTATAGTCTGTAATACGTGTAATTGTGTTATTAGAGAGGGAACGGAGCAATTTACGTAATAATAAAACTTTACAAAATATCGAGAAGGGGATTCTATCTTATAGTGCAGAGTAACATAAATAGTCGCGTCAAGTTCAACAATCATCCTCAAATGTAAATTAGGCTCGAATCGTTGGAAAAGGATTTTTCGAAGTTTGCTCAGGGCAAATTTATCCTAACGATTGTACTAAATTTGGAATCCAATAGAATGACAATTTTCATAAACGCACTTTCAATCCTCTTTCCCCGCTCGACTATTTACTTCGCATTGCCAAAACAAGAAGTTTTGAATATAAAGAATAGCGATCGCCAAGATAATGTCGATAAATCAAGCTCGATAATGCTCGTTTAAAGAAAATACCCGATTGAACGGGTAGGACGAGAGGACAAACGCAAAAGTTTACGCAATACCTCGAGCCCACATTGTCTTTCTGAATCATTCAGATTAAAGAAAATCACCTCTGCACGGTAATTGCAGCGCGCTCCAATATCAAGGCTCTGTTGTACTCCAGGGTTCGTTCCAGGGATTCGCGCAGGAATACCCTCGAGAGACCGAGCTGGTATTGCATCTGGGCCTCCATGGGCGCGGCCTTCTCCAGTATTATACGGCAAAGCTCCTTGTTTGGGGCGCCACGAGGTAAGCTCGTGGACACGAGATAGCGGTAGCGGTCGACGAAGTGTGCAAAAGGCAGGCGTACTGGGTAGCCAGTCTTCCGGATGCGGATGGTCTCGAGCATGCCGGTGTAGCGCAGCTGCTCTAGGACGCAAGGCATGTCGAACTTCATCGGGGCCTTCTCCGAGTTGGGCTTGATGCACCGCACGAACCAGGGATTACACCTATCGCAAGTAGCATGTGCGAGGGTAAAGTAATGCTCGAGGCCAAGTGGAAGAAGATATTATTAGATCGGGGAGGATTAGGCATGAAGGCTCGACTCTTAAAAATGGCATTGGAATTTTTATCATCTTAAGGATCGTTGCCATTGTCATTTGGTGTTGTATGTTGATATGGGGAATAACTTACTGGGACATGGATTCTAGGAGTTGCTGCAAGCTGTCGTGGAAGCGAGCCGAAACCGTCGGCGTTCTTGGCTTCATCGTGACGAATCTGCCATTCGGCTTATTGATTGTTTTATTGGCTTCGTGTGCGTTTCTCACGTGCTGGAACATTTTGCTCACCATCTAAAGCACGGAAATAAATAAGTTAATGAACATCGGTCGGCCGCATATCGATTTAATAATAGCTCGTATTGGTTAAAAAAAAAAAATCATACGTTAATTTTACTGCTGATTAAAAGCTCGACGACATCGGGTCTCAAAGTGTCTCGATTCTTGTCCAAAAATCCATCTACATTGTACCAAACTTGGCCGGCATAGTGCCTGATGGCAAACTCGGCCGAATTCATTCGCGGCCTTGAATACAATTCGCTCAGTGCATGATTATAATGGCATTTTTCAAGGAATGAGAGATCCGTGGCTTTTGGAAAGTTACTTTCATCATCCAGAAGGTGCAGAATTCCTACTGGTTTCTTGGCGATCAGGTGAATTATTGGCAAATTATCCTGTAAAGCGAACATGAGTTTCAATTAATGGCGCTTAAAGGCAGAGTTAAAATTGAACAAATAAAGTATAGAAGTATCATTCGTGGATATGAAAGGACATTTGAAAGCTCTTATTCATAATCATTACGATTGATAAACTAAATTATTTCTGTGTAATTGGATGAGCTATTTTTTCTTTGCTTACTACGATTGTCAAATAGACGAATAGCGAAGAGTGACTGTTATATACCGAACAATGAGAGCTAAAACTGCATTTCGCAAACTCATCGCTCACTCCTTGCGAAAGTGAGAAGAGATTTTATTGAATTGAAAAATGACGTCAAATGAAATTACAATTATAGCGACGAAATGTTAAGATCGTAATAGAGGCAGCGCGAACGCATATAACGTCGAGATGAATTAGGTAATAAAAAAGGAGGCTGTAACGAAAGTGCAATCAAATCTCGAATTGGAATCGGACTTGAGCCGCCCATCTATCGGAATTATGACGCAATGACTCACGGTATAATTTATCGTGGTCCAGTCGATTTTCTCCTTGGCGTACTCCTGTTGCTCCAACTTGAATATATGCTTGTTGAAGTAAAAGTGCAGATTCTCGTTGGCGTAATTAATACAAAGCTGCTCGAAGCTATTCTCCGTGAAGTTCTCGAAGCCGAATATGTCGAGGATGGATATGGCGGCGGTTTGCTTCGTTCCCTTGTAGACGATGTGATTAACTCGTGCGACCAACCAAGAGAACAGCGAGCTATAGAGCGCCTTGGCGAATGCGTCACGGGCGTCTAGCGCTTGATCGATATTCAAAGCCGTTAACACTCGCTCGTTTCGCGCTTCCTGCAACGGAGAAAGAATAATGGCTTAGAGCGCGTAGGTCTGCGCGATATCTCGCTGGTAATGTGCCGTGAGGTTATGCGAGACCACGTATTTACGGAGTCTTAACCGTTCATAAAACTTCGTTGAATAAACACAAGATGAAACAAGTTTCGAGTGGGGAGTGTTTGCGTACACTCGGTTATTTGCGCTCTGGAGAAATTTTTTTTACCACTCGTGCATGATGAATGGCGGGATATGACCTGCCGCCTCACGAAATGTTAATTTTATCGCAATGACGAAAATGGAATGAAAGAACTACAATTTTTCAACTTTACCGTAGAATTCTCTTACTTACTTTGTATTTAATTTTTGTTTTTGTTTTTTCCCCCAAATGCCCAAGTGTTAATATTGGAATAGAGAAAGAATTAGGATATCGTGAAACGACGTTTGTTTTGTCAAATAATTTCACTGTTGTTATGGATAGGCATACGAAAGTAATAATATTATTGCCTGTATCAATAACGCGAAAATTCAATCTATTTAAATAGATTACCGTTGAGTTTCTTTCTTAAATTCTGTATTTTATTGGACTGTAAAGTTTGATCGACTTATTTCGGATAATTCCTAATGTCATTAAAGCGTAATTTGCAAAGATCGTATGCGAAAAGTGAGCGTAATCTTAGGTGACTTAAATAATGTAAAATTGTTTATGTTTGGAAATTCATTAATCATCGTTAATAATTTTGCAAAATTATCCGCTGCTCGTCCGCATCCTACATTTACCGTAGTTTTTGTTGTTAGAGCCCGTATGATTCCATCCGAGTTAATTTGCAAAAGATGGGCTGCCCATCGTATTTCTGCGTCGGAGCCGACTTCCACGCCCTCCTGTCCGTGTCTCATTTGTTTACGATGAAAGTAAACGTTTCCCAGATGCAGCACACTGCTTAAAATCTTAAATATTGTGTCTTGTTCTTCGGATGTAAAACCCAAGACTTGCATCGCCGAAAGTAGCGCTTTAAAGTCTTGGGTATCGTTTTTCCCATCAATATCGCAGTTTCCACCCTAGAATAATTTGTTTGAAATGTTGTATTATGTTGCACACGTGCGTCTGCTTTCTTATACTTTGAAATGGTAAATCTAACTTAAAAATCATTCCAATTCAACAACAAATTAATCGTTAATAGTTAATGTTTAACGAGTCGTTACTTTTTCTTCTTTTTTTTCCTTATCAATGAAATTTTTAAATAGTATTAAAAGATTTCTGACTTTTCTTTACTCACGAATAAATATTGGCCTACCTGATTTAAGTAGAAGTATTTATCAGGAGTTAGAAGCCCATATTTGTCTCGCAATTGCTGATCTAATCCCGCTAAAAGCTCATAAAAGACATGATAATTCCGTTCGTCCGTAGCTTGGGTCACAATCCTGCTTTTCTCCAAAAGATATTGCGTCACTCTCCCTCCGACAATTACACCACTGTAAGAGTATCAAATATTATTGTAATATTACGATGAGTTTTAATGAAAATTTGTTTGTGAAAAAAAAGCGTTGTTTATATAGTAAATATTATTCTTATATTATACAGGGCAATTGGTATTATAATATTTTATAATAGGCTGTAAATATTATCAATTAGATTTCAATATTTTTTCTCTTCCATTATTCAGACTGAATAATATATATAGTGTAAGTCTGCCGAAATGGTTAACAATAATGTATTGTAATATCGTTTTAGGATATACTTTATCGTTGTTGTTGCTACTCAGCTTGGCATTCGACATAATAGCTGGGAAAATTAGGAATCGATGCTTAAAAACGATTTGAATGAAATGCGATAAACCTGCATACAGTCATTGATAGGACTATCTATGAATGTTTGAAATTCCGATATTGTTAGTCGTAACTTTAAAACTCTGTGCGACTAGAAAGTTATATTGAAATGTACGATTAATAGAAGATTACTGATTATTCGATTATTGTTTATACACACTGACACTGACGTCCCATGAATTTCAAATGAATCCAAGGCATTCATATTATTAGTAAGAATTTAACTTCCTTACCTTACATTCACACAATTTTAATGCTAATAAAAAGTTTATTCCACTAATTTATTTCTTTTTTATTTATTTTTTATCAAACATTTCCTTCAAATACGTTTATTTATTATTAAAATAAAATAAAATAAAATAACAAACACTTTGGCTAGATGACCTGTTTCTTAGAGCCGTTAAAGCAAACGACGATACATATCGGGAGGATGATTATGATATGATTGATCCCGACATAAATCATCAAAGCGCATGATTCAACTTACTCTCGGAAGAAGACCTCGAGGTATTTGCCGAATCGGCTGCTGTTGTCGTTCCTCGGCGTCTTGGCGTTGCCGAAGCTCTCCAAAAGCGGCGCGGCCTCGAGGATCTGCTCCGTGACGAGGTTACTGGGTGCTCGGTTGACGGCTGCCAGGTACTGCATCACGAGCTTCGTCGACTCGGTTTTGCCGGAACCGGACTCGCCGGAAATCACAACCACCTGATTAGCGCTGGCATTGTTCGCTGCGCTCACTTGGCTGTATGCCGACGAACCCACGGCGAATAAGTGCCTGGGAGCGAAATGAACAATATGCACTTCACGTATTGTAGAGCGATGGCATTTTTATAGCCTTACTTATAAAGTTATTAAATTAGTTGATTTTACAACCTTATAACCGCGCGGTCATGATGATTTACGGCCCCGTGCATTTAACGTCGCTAAACAATTCATAACTGGCTATGTTTTATCTGTGGAACTCTCGTTTGACAAGGTATATTTAGACATAGTTCTCGGATACTTCTTAATTCGACGATTTGTAACAACGTTGTTAGCTTATAACGTTTTCTCTCTCGTATTTTTTTTATGTTTGAAAGCAAAATTCATTAGCATGTACAATAATAATAAAAATAATAATAATGTAAATAAAAAAAAAAAAAAAAAAAAAAAAAAACATAAAACGTCTCCTAAAAGAGTAGGCTATTTTAATAAATAAATGATACGCAAGCAATGAATTAAAGGTTAAAAATATGTATTATGTATTTTGTGTTGTCATTATTTGCAGCATAATTAACGAAATTCGACAATCTTCCACGATAATTCGTGCAATTAATAATGCGACGAAGCGAAACTTCAGCGTACATCAAAGAGCGAAGGTTTTTTTATGTCTACGATACATTAGATTCCCTTATGACGATATTTGCCTATATGAAAGCGAGCTGCTCTATCGAGGTTTATATGCATTTACTCGTTGTATAAAGTGCCCCCAGGGAGAGTAATGAAACTTTTGTCCATAGAGCAGCTGTACAATTAGAAGCGGGAAATGTGAAAATGAAAGTTTCTTACTGCATAAATAATTTTCACTTACGGTGGTAAAGTCCCCAGTATTCTTCCTTCATAAAGCTTGACTTGGTCTAGGCCGTAAATATCAAACATTTTGTATGGATTGACGGCGACTAGGATACTCCCGGTATACGTCTGCATAATGTTAAAAGAAGAACGAAAGTTATAGGAGAATAAGAAAAATCTATTTAAATGAATAATTTTAACGATCCTTACGTAAATAAGTTCTTTGTCATAGCGTATCTTGAGATTCCAGAGAAGAGAAGCCTCGTTTAAGTCACTGCAAGAAAAAGCGTGTCATTATTCACGTACAAAGTTAAGTCATAATGATCGTCAATGTAGTCGTTTACCTAAGTTGAATCATGTCTTCAACGCCATTTTGACCTAAGTCTTGTCTAGGCTTAACCCCAGTGAGATTCGTGAGCGTAAATATTTGTGGCTGTAAAAGCAACGTTTTTTATTTAAAGTTCGGTATTGACGACGAGGCGTTTTATCAATACAACACCTCTTCAATAACATTAAATACTCTTCCTATTAATATTTAGGTTTGATCAAATGATTAATAACGTGAGCGAGGATATTAAAATTTCTACGGCCTATTAAGTATTACAGTATATTAACAAATAAAGTTCATTGTTATTCGTGAGACTACTAGTAGTTAGTAATATTTCATACTAAGATTCTTCCTTATAAGTCTCGAAGATGAAATTGTGAATATGTTTGTTCTTTTATATATCAATGTATAATAATTAACGTATTGTAAAGTTGCAAGCGCAAAGAGTAAGGTCATTTAGATTATTGGAAACGTTCAGCAAAGAGAAGAAAATTCAAGATAATATTATAATATTTAATACATCGGTAGTTCTCTTATGGATGCACGTATCTATATAATAAAAAAACTAATAACAATTAATTACAGAAAATCGATATCAACAACACTCGTTTGACATTCGAATTTATATCTCGGTATTTCCAAATCGGTAGACAAAAGAATAATTCCTTGGCAGGAATAAGCAGGAATAAAGCGCCCCCAAACTTCGCGTAAACTTGTTTTCGATTAAAAATTAATTCGACGTCTATGCTGATCGCTGTATTATCTTTCAATGTTTTTCTACCAAACTTGTGGGCATAAATTTCAATGAAGATAGGAAAAGCCTGTGAATTTCAATGGTTTTTATACGCACGATAAAAGGAAATAAAATGCTATTATTGTTCGTGTTTAATGTCGATTGGCTCGCGAAATAAGACGTTTTAGCGATAAATTAAAAAATGTTCCTTGCTCTGATAACTAACACCATACAAGATTACCAAAGAAGCGAGTATTTAGATACGCGTTAAAAGCCTTATTTATTATAATATAATTTGCGATAAAATTAAAAATGATAATATCGCATGTATTCGCAGAACTTTAACGAGCATTTAATGCTTTAGCTGAGAAATAAATAACCGCAATGCTTTCATCAAATATCGTCGAAGCACAGTTTTTTAATCACTTTCACGAACCCGTTGCATAACTCACTGCGAGCGTTCCTTCTCCATGACAATAAAAAAATCATCGTCATTCACAAAACGCACGAGCACTATTACGCATTCAATTGTCAGTAAACACACTCGGCTATTCATTAAACCTCCTCGGATTTCGCCCGAATCATTGTACCGGCGCTCCACGAGTACAACTTGTACGTACGCGCAAAGCCGATGAACTTGCCACTTTCGTACAACCCTTTCGCCGCCAAGCGCTCGCACGCGCGCACACGCACGCGGCTCATTATATCCTTAGCTGCGCATATCACGCCCGAGTTGCGCGACGCTTTCGCGGAAACATTGTCCAGCTCGGCAAGTTATCCGAATTATTCGGCGAGTCTTAGCCACGCGACTTTCTACGAGCGCGTGCGCCCCGATTTTCTGTATACAGGCAGTAGTGGCAGTAGTGGTGAGTGCGTCGAGACGAAATTTTCGATGAGCCCGCGTGCCATTCCGTTGTAATTGTTTACAGTTAGTTTCCCATTTGCAGGTATGTGTAATCTTTTGAAAATTGGAAAATCACTTAAGGCTAATTCACGGTACTAATTGTAGATGCACTGGCTCGAGCGCCGTTCTCTTTTCTTTCTTTTTTACACTTTTTTGAATAATATTGCGAGTTGACAGTTTTGTTTAGGTTGTTTAATGGACCAAACAGTTGATATTGTTTTAAAGACTTCAAGTCCCCTCTCCCAAATACTCCGTAGTAATGCTCATTGCGATCATTTCCTAATGGGAATTTATACGGCTACAAATAAAAACAAAAAACCAAAAAAAAGTCTTTATTTATTACTTCAAGCAAACAAGATTTTTAGGAATTTAAAATTATAAATACCTTCTTTATTACAATCTATGAAAGTAAGAATGTTTTAAAAATAGCCAATATAGGCTGTTTTATGAAATCTAGTTATTGGGATAATTTATCAAACTTCTTTACTAATATATTTAATTAATTCATCTAAAAAATTTTATTTTTTCTATTTTTCTCGATGTACTGTTAGTTTATATTAAACTACAGAGAGTAAAGTGATCAAATTAATTAATTGAGAGCGCTATTTAAAAACAATAAATAACCACACGTACTGGTATTTTTTTTTCTTTTAAATTATCTCTGAATATTGTTGAAATATTCATTCGTTTCCGACTACATTATATTTAACTTATTCTTCTTATCTTTATTGTTGTTAGAAATGTTAGAAAAATGTTATTGATTATCGGGGAAATATTAGCGTTGTTAATCCGGAAGATATATTGCAATAATTATTAAATACGGAAAATGAGTCAATTACATTCGATTGCAATCTTTGTATTTCGGTATATTTATAACATAATAGTACCTTGCATTTCTATATAAAATAAAATAAAAACAAAGATTGAGGAAAATGTTGCTTATAAAAAAAATAGGCTAAGAAAAGTGAAGATGTAAATAAATGGCCACTATTCTTAACTGGCAATGCTTTTAACGTGATTTTAATACATTCACCAGGACACTAATATATTTAACATATTAAGATTATTGTAAAAATTTCTAAAAGTATGCTAGTTGACTAAAACAAAGTTAAGACAACAATGGCAATATTGCTTTTGGCGATAGGATTTCGAGAAAAACCGGTTATAATCAATTATTATAGAGTAATTAAAAACTATTTGTTTGCTTTAACGAGTAATAGATTTGGTATCTTGGAAAATCCTGTCACAAGGCCATTGTTAAAGTTCAACATTGTTAAAAGAAAAATTTATACTCGTGCTGCAATAAACACAACTATAAACGTCAGAGTGTCGATAATAAACTTACTCGGCTATGACCAGATATTTTGTGCACGAGACTTGCCTCGAAGTTCACAAGACCGGTTCGCCTCTGAAGAGAAAATCATTAGAAAATTAATCATAAAATATACATCACCTTTCCGGCAATGAGGGCCTGGACCGACAGGACGTTGGCTGCTCTGTGATACTCGAGGACCTCTCCGGGAAGAACATGGCCGACACCTGGGTCGAACCAAACGAGCTCGCCCTGCAAAAATATTCGGATGTGCTGTATAAATTGGTCATAAATTCTCGTTTATCCTGAACATTATTCCCAATCGCGGAAACGCTAAGTCTGCTTGTTGCAATTGAATTATTTAGTAGATAATTGCTTGTGCAATGGCCAGTAAAAACACGAATCTGACGATTAATTGCAATAAATATATATATATATATATTTTTTTTTTTTTTTTTTATTTAGAATAGGCACAGACAGGCCAAGGAAACGTTATAATTCATCGGACACTGCGAATTAGTTAATTTTCCCAGACTCACCAACATCGAATCAAACTAAAAGTGTCGATTCGGCTAGGCTGTTGGCAATGATTAGTGATTAAATTTCGGTGATTACATTAAACGAAAGGGAGGAGGAAGTGTAACAGTGGCAGATTATGAAACAAATTTAGTCTTACGAGCTGTTCGTACTCGCTCGTAGTCTGCATTATCGGAATGCAACTCTTACAATTAATTTTATTTAATTTCATTCGATAATTCAATCAAATGTCCAATCGCGTCTCTTAACGCTTAGAAACGAGTCCTGTCTCGAAAGAATGCACACAGCTGATTTATGTCCGAGAACGGTACACAATGCTCAAAGAAGTTTTTTTTAATGTACTTATTTGTCACATACCGATCGTAAAAACTTCAAACTTATTTAAATCGTGAATCATACGGGCAGGAATTCAACTCCCGGGAATCAAATGGTATTTGGTGAACGTCCGCTATTTCTAGCTATTAATTTTGCCACTTAACGAGCGAGAGACTATTGGCCGAGTGTGGCGAGGTGTTACCTCGACGAGCGCTTACGACAAAACTTCGCCAATTACTTATTACGAGCTGTACGTTTTATTTCTCTACACTCCCTCCCCGACCGTAAAAAGCTAGCTCTACTAATACCTTGCACGTCTTAAGAGTAAAAATCGCCCAGCGGTTTACTACTAATTACAAAGAATAAAAAAAAGTGACTTAAAATGCATAGGAACGGGACGCTATTAATCTCACAAAGGCAGAGTTGCTCGTACGCTCATTCGTGTATCGCCAGTCTGACTTATCGAACAACTGTGAGCGAACGAGGAGAGGAGAAAAAGAAAACAATAGGAAGAGGTCTACGATCCCCTGCTCGCACCGTTCTTGGCTGGCTCGCCTTGTACGGATGCGTTACGTCATCGCCCTCTGTCATCCTCGACGGCGAACTCCCCGACGTGGAATGCTGCGTTTTCCTCCTGCCGGTGCACAGTCCAAAGATCGAATAGGGCATTCCCGTAGCGGAGACGTGACTAGAGACGGAGAGTTTCCTCGGAGCATCGATGACGCCGCCGCTCGTCAGTCTCGCTCCTACCGCCAGCCTATCGATTCTCAAAGGAATGCAGGAGGCCTTGCGCGGCTTCCTCGCGTACGAGGGCAGACTCTTGGAGGAGCCCTTGCCCAGTGCCTCTTCCTCCTGGCTCCCGGGAGCCAGCCCTTTCGCGCTCTCGCCCGGAGGCTTGTACCACTCGGTGTTCCGGCGCCTCGCGCGTTCTCGATCATGCGCCGTACCCGGCAGTGTGTTAGTACGCAGCGTCCCGTACTTGTTGCCGCTGTCCTTGGCTCTTGGTTGCCGGCCCAGTGACTTTATCACCCGGGCCTCCTCGGCGTTGCCGATTATTCGGCGCCGCGACATGGTACGCTGCGGTAGGTTCGGCATCGAAGCGCCGCTGTTTCGCCGGCTGTCCAGCATCCCATAGTTGGGCGGGTCGATCATTGGATCGCGGATACTTCGGTACGTCTTCCGGAGTCCGTTAATATTGGTTTCGCCCAAACGATTCGCGTCTTTGCAATTGAGAGTTGTGCTGGAGAGGCTCGGCACGGAGATCTTGCGTCTACGTATTTTGCCGTAGATGGGTGCCTCCTGCCTATTGACGGTGCAGTCCTTGCTCGTGACCCTGATATTGGCATTGTCGTACACCTGTAGCAGCAGCTGCTGCTGCTGCTGCTCCTCCTTCTCGTCCTTCCGATAGATTCGTGAGGTCGCGATCTTTGGCAGGGTCGACGGCCTCGGTACCTGCAGCGACGCGGCCCCTACGGACCCCTTACTCCTCCACTTGTCGGAGGGTCGAGTTCTAGCTTTGCTCGTAGCCGCGGTCGGTGCGCGCTTGACGAAACAACCGGTGTGCTTCGACTCGACCGTCTCCTTGCCGCTATCGCGTTCGATGGCAGCGCAAAGGGAGACGCATGATTTTCGTCTCTCCTCCTCCAGATTGGCGCTCGAGGTGCGCCGAATGATCTCCTGCCGTGAGATGCGTGCCAGCGGCACGAGCGTCATCGAGCCCGTGTCCCGGTCCTTGGCGCTCGATCTCCGGCAGACGGACGGCAAGGTCGTGGGCCTCTGGGAGTCAGAGAAGGGCTCCTCGTCGCGAGCGGTCTGCTTCTGCAGGAGGGATGACCTGCTCCATCGCTTTCTCAGAGACTGACCGAGCCTGGTGAGCGGGTCGCTTTGCGTCTCGGTTTTCGAACTGGTGCGCCGAATTATGTCCTTGCGCGAGACCATGGCGAAAGGTTCGCGTATGAGGGTGTGAAAGGACTCGGACTTTAAGCGACCCTTGGTCTTGGTCTCGCTCCTCGTATTGGCGGTTTTATCGATATCGGCGCGCATACTGGCCGCTCTCGTGCTTATCGCCGAAGATCGAGATTCCGGTGGCTGGTGATGTCGCGGGCCACGTCCGATGGGCTGCGAGATGCTTAACGGTGCCTTCGCGCTGTTTTCCGGTTTCGACCTGCGCGTAGCTTTCCCCGGGCCATCGCCACTTTCCTGCGGATTCATTTTGTACGTGGTGGAGGACCGAGCGTGGAAGGCGACTCGCAGCCTCAGCGCCCAAGAGGAGACGAAGAGCCGGGGAGCCGCCGGATCTCTATGGTTTTTGCCCTCGCGTGAATTACGGAAACAAGTTTGCTGTATCTCATTCTAGTGGGACTCGGGCCGATTTATCGCCGCCTCGGAGTAAGAGATTCTGTACATACTTTCGAGGCCATTAAGTTGCTCCTCTTTTTTTCGTATCTTCGCTTTAACGAGAACTTTTTGTCGGCCCCGAGTCGAGAGAGACGCTAAGCCCGCTTATTTGCATGAATTTGGTATACGAAATCGGATAGTTTTGCCATTATTTATAATGCTCGTTATGCGCGCACGATCAATGTGCGTGTGCATACGTGCGACTGCGCGCGAGTTGCGCGCCACTCCCAAGTGCAACGAGACAACGTTGGTGGCGTTCCTTTCACATGGCGACATGATGATGCTGATATTATTTATCGTAGATGAGGCATGCGCTAATCCCTTAATTTACGATGCACTTACGACGATACAGTTTATCTTGTCGGAGCGCCAAAAAGACAAAGGTAAATCCATTTTTATGAGCGAAGCAGCAACGAATTAGACTTTGTGCTCTCTCTCATCGGCAT